AAGAGATCAACCGAAGGACTTGTATGCATGCATACGAGCATAACCAATGGACACAAGACACTGGGAGGCATGGGAGGCTAGGGGAGGGTCAAGGGGAGAAAAAAAAAGGAGACATATATAATACTCTTTGTAATACTTTAAGCAATGAAACAATTAAAAAATTAAAAAAAATAAAAAGCCAACTGATTGAACTGGAAAAAAATAAAAAATAAAGTATATTACAAGGTTTCACAATATAAATAAATAAATAAATAAATAAATAAATAAACCAACAAACATGTGTTGGTGAGGTTGTGGAGAAGAAGAAACCTTAATCAGTGCAGTTTGTGGGAAGGCAGTGCACGATTTGTGGGAAGGCAGAATGGTGCAGCCACTGTGGAAAACAGTATGACGTTTCCTCAAAAAATTAAAAATGGAACTGAATTATGACCCAGCAATTCCACTTCTAGGAATATAACTGAAGAAACCCAAAACACTAATTTGAAAGAATATATTCACCTCTATGTTCATTGCAACATTATTTACAATAGCCAAGGTCTGGAAACAGCCCAAGTGCCCATCAGAATAAATGAGTGGATAAAAAAAGCTGTGGGACATTTACACAATGGAATTATATGCGGCCATAAAAAAGAAGAAAATCTTACCTTTTGTGACAGCATAGATGGACCTGGAGACTATTATGCTAAGCAAAATAAGCCAGTCAGAGAAAGACAAATATCACACAATCTCACTTATACGTGGAATGTAATGAACAAAATAAACTGAAAAACAAAATAGATCCAGAGACATGGAAGCATGCATCAAACTGAGGATTCTCAGAGGGAAGGGGCGGGGGAGGTCAAGAGGAGATTAGCTAAAGAACTCATATGCATATATGCATAACCCAAGGACACAGACAATAGTGCGGTGAAGGCCTGGGGAGGGGGCAGAAGGGGAAGAAGGGGGTCAATGGGGGAAAGGAGGATATCTGTAATATTTTCCACAATAAATACAAATTTTAAAAATAAATACATTAACAAAGTGGAGGTAGATTCATGGATACAGAGAAAGACTGACAGCTGTCAGAGGGGAGGGGGTTGGGGGCTGGGTAAGAAGGGTGAACGGATTAAGCAAAGAAAAAAAAAGGCTCGTGGATATAGACAACAGTATGGTAATTGCCAGAGTGGGGGAAGAGGTAGAAGGTAAAGGGGGGAT